CTAACTGATGACACTAACACCAGAGTAAAGACTATTACAGTAGTCGAGGCAAAGATGAAATGAAGACGTGGACAGCTCTCTCAAAGTCTCTAAAACAGAGAAATGGCTTCACTTTAACAAGTAGCTAAAGATGAAAGAACCTGGTCTTGATTACAGCATTAATCTGTTTATCAAACGTTAGATTAGAGTCAAAAATCACTCGTAGGTTCCTCGCGAAAGGTTTTTTTTTTTTAAATAAATTTCTAAGGGGCCAAAGTCGCAGTGGTCACAGGGACCAAACACAATCACCTCTGTTTTCTGTTCATTTAGGTTAAGAAAGTTTAATGCCATACATGCCTTAACATCCTCCAAACAATCTAGCAAATCCTTCAGAAAATAGTCAGAGTGGATCGCGGCGGAGGAACAGTGATACAGTCTCTAAGCGCATCTGTAACCGGAAGGTCGCCGGTTCGATCCCCGGGCTCTGTCCTGGTCATTGTGTTGTGTCCTTGGGCAACCTACCGCCTACTGGTGTTGGCCAGAGGGGCCGATGGCACGATCTATCAGTCTGCCCCAGGGCTACAACTGTAGCTGCCTCCACCAGTGTGTGAGAATGTGAGAGTGAATGAATAGTGGAATTATAATCAATCAAAGCTTTATTCGCCACATGCAGGTTGCCCTGCAGTGGAATGGGACCCCCCCCGACCTTACAGACACAATTTTACAGTGTTTATTTACTTTAACTTACTTTAAATAAATAATTTTAAGTGGGCCGGGTCCTCCGAAAGCCAGGCTGGAAGTGAGCGACTGTGATGATCTCGCCTTCAGAATTACGTCACGAGCTGTCTCGGTGGAGTGAAACTTGGCTGTCTGCTCCTCGCTATCTAAAATATAACCGGACGCTGGCGTAGATTCTCGACCGTCTCACACTTCTGTTTAATCAGTTTTGTGTTTGACGTTTATTCAGCTGTGTGAAAACCCCGGAGGAACCCACCCGATGATTTATAAAGCTTTATTTAATCTAAGCTAATCTAATAACTTTAATCTCAGCCAAACCGATTTACTCACGAACAAGTAAAACACTGGAAAAGCCAAACAAGAACATTTTAAGTTATCAAAGTGACTTATATATCATGTTTAACCCGAGTAGCGAAAGACTGCGGGGGTTTGAAAACGATGTGCCGGGAGTTTGCTGTTCTCGCTGGCTCAGATATTTAAAGTTTACACAGCTACATTCTCGCCTGAAAATATGTTAAAAGTTTATTTTGTGACCAGAAAGAGTAATAAGAGTAATATTAAAACTAAATAGCTGCCGCCATTTTTGGGAACTGGAATTGAGACGCCATGAATTCTGCGATATGGTTTTTCATTTTTGGGAGAATGGAGGCTCCGGGAGATTTTCGGGAGGGGCATTGAAATTCGGGATTCTCCCGGAAAAATCGTGAGGGCTGGCATGTATGTCTGTGAGAGTGTGAAAAGGGCGCCGGTTTAACTCAGGCGACCACATGCCATACGGCTGAGAGCGGCCGGCCCGGGTTCAAGTCCAACCTGGGGCCCTTTGCCGCATGTCTGCCCCCCTCTCTCTCTGCCCCCGCTTTCCTATCGTCTCGTCACTGTGTCTATCAAATAAAGCTGAAAAAGGCCAAAAATATTTAAAAAAAGAGTGTAAAAGGTCTTTAATGAGACAGTTTCTTCACATCGAACAACAACCCTCCCACCTCTGTTTCTACCACAACAATTTATAATGACGTTCACAGTTAGAGGCAAAAACAGACGATAACACTTTAGGATAATGCAATTTATTTATTGGTTATTAATTCTCATTGCAGTCAAGTTTATAAATGATCATTGACAGTTAAGAAAGAACAATTGGAGTGAAAGTCTTAAAATGAAAATAATTTAACTTGAACATTAAATGATCAGATTTCATACAATCGTAAAATCCTGATCCACGCTCAAGTTGATTTTGTTCAACAAATTACAATCATATGTACTGATTAATGTGAGGCACAGAGGTGCAGCATGATTTAGTTAAATAAGTCTCCAATCAGTCAGTTTGTCTTATCTTCTGAACAATAATTAGGTAAAAAGAAAACAACTTAAGGATTTGCGATCTTTTATGTAAATTAATATGATCAACAGCTCTGCTAATACCAGTACTACTGCTTCATTTAGTCATTTATGTCCATGCAGTAAATATTTACGAGTGCATGAGAATTACTTGGCGTTATTCTTGTTGTTCTCAATCACGTGAACAATTAGACTTGCTCACATTTGATTTTTTGTTTCTGTTTTTCTGACCAATCACAGTATTGCACATGTTTGTGGTATTTTAGCTCCCATCCCCTGCAGGTGCCGCACTCGTTTCTCCCAGCCTGGGTTGGCCTCTGATTTCTCTTCCTCGATCAGCATGTCGATGTATTCTGAGGTGGACAGAGGATCTGGCTTCAGTGCTATCTGTTTAAGCGTGTCCTCACACTTACATGACATTTTCGCCAATTCCGTCACATCAGGCAGTTTATCAGAAAATACACTTTCCAGTTTTTTAACCAGAGCCTCAGCAGTCATCTTATCATCGGTGACACCGATGCTTTCTTTCAGCTCTCTGACTGATTGTTTCCGTGTATCCTCTCTATACTCCCATTTTTTATTCTCGCTGACATGGTCTTCCCACGAACATTTGCTTGGGCACACAGTGCAGCATCCATTTGAATCCATTGCAGCACAGCAATTTTCAGCTGCATCCTTTTTCACAGGACAGGGATAATGGCATGTAAACTCACACTTCTTACAGTTGGTACTGAAATTACCAGCATCCTCCTGCTTAGGGTTCATGACTGTAACTTCAAACTCGGCGTTCTCATTTTTGTTGATCTGGGCCTCAAACTCTCTTAGTTTTTTAGTCGTCTCTTTTAGCTCCCGAAGCCCGACTGACCGCAGTCTGCTTAATTTCCACCAAGCTTGTCCTACTATTTCATGCTGCCTTCTTTGATTGAGGACCTCGTTGGTCTGTTTCAAGCTTTTTGCTTGTGTGACTTCTACAGAATCAAAAAAACTCTTCATGTTGTTTGTGCTCATTTCCCAAAACATCTGACCAAAGTTTTCCTCTTCTTCATCTTCGTCAACAGTGTCGTCATTCTGAGATGATCTGTTGTGTGCAAACAAGGCTGAATTATTAAATTTGAAGTGAACAGGCAGCCCATCATCAGCTGTAGGTAATGGGACACCTGAAGCTTTTACTGCGTCTAGAACTGGAGGTCGCTGACCGTCTGCAAATGTCACCAGGACCCTGATGTTTTCTGTTTTCTGCCACATCTGAATCAAACACATATTTCTGTGTTGTGGATCTCACTTGAGCAGCCTGAGCTACAAAACACACAGCATCAATTTCAGTGACACCGTGCTGAGCAGAGAAGAGATTACGTAGCTGCTCTGTGATCTCTCTGTCTCTTTCTATGCCTCTTGTATCTCCAAAGCCTGGAGTGTCAATAATGGTCAGAGAGAACGGGATTTTGAATCTATCCTGGTGGTTGATTTTGTAAACAGTGACTTCAGAGGTCTGACTGGGAACTCGTGATGTTGACTGATCCTCATTAATGAATTTAAACCTGAAACTGTCCTCCCACTCTACACCAACAATGTAGTTGATCATTCCATCAATCAGAGTGGACTTTCCTGATCCTGTCGCTCCAAAAAGCATTATTGTACGATTCTGCCTCGTGCTTTCTTCTCCAAAGTTAAACTTCCTGCATCCATCTATGTTCATGTGTTCTTCTGTCAGAGGCAGTTTGTAAACTGAGGGGGAATCAGATTTGATCTTTTCACTTTTATGTCTGAGAAGTTCTGCGAGGTGTTTAAATGTTGTGTAGACTTTAACAGTGTTGCTTTCTTTGCTTTTTCCAGCTGAACCACAATCACATCTGACCCTGACTGCATATTCTTTATCTGTCTGAAGACCTGAAAGGATCACCTTTTCACCTGCTGACTTTGTTTGGTTCCAATGCAGAGCTTCCTCATTACCATCTGTTTTTGCATACTCCACAATGTAGCTCAATATTTGCACATTCTCTCCAAGTTCAGTAGGTTTCTCCCAGCTAACTGATATCTCACTTGAACTTGGTTCAACTTGAGGTTTTCCAGGACGGCTGCAGGGTAAGGTTTTAATAGAAACTTGATTAGCAGGCCCGACACCTGCTGAGGTCACTGCTCTGCATCTGAACACATACTCTGTGTTTGGCTTCAGATCTTTCACTGTGACTTCAGCCTTTGCTTCTGTCTTTTGCTGCCATCCATCCTCTCCACTGACACAGTACTCAACAGAGTAGGAGGTAATGTTCTCTGCTCCAAATGTGGGTGGAGAAATCTTCAGTTTCACACTGTTGTGGTTTATCTCAGCTGCTGTCACAGTTTCAGGCTTTGAAGGAGGCTTAAAGTTCTCACTGACAGTAAATCCACCTTCATAAAGGTAGATGCTGGAACCTTCCTGTGTCTCATTAGTTAAACCCACTGTCAGGAACTTAATGTTCTTGTTCTCCTTGTTGGCCTCTGCAAAATCAATAAAGAGTTTTGCTTTCCTCCTCATTTCACCTGTTACTTCTTTTGAGGCATACCATTGTTCCTTCTCTGCATCATGAGTGTGAGGATCTTGAAGGTCTGGGTTGGTTTTTCCTTTTAAGTATTTTGATAAAGCTGAGAGGTACGGTTCATCCTTTCCCAGAGAGGTGAAAACAAAACACACAACATGCTCTGCACTCAGACTTTCCTTGTACAGATCATTTTGAGACGAGATGATTTTGGTGTTTTTCATCATCTTGGTAAAAGACATTAATGTGTCAACTTCTCTCTCTTTACAGTCCATCCACTCGTTCAGGTTTTTGCTGCTGAAAGGTGAAGAATGTCTCTTCTTCAGGATCTCTGCAAGCTCAGCTTCCTCTTCTCCTCCTCCTCGGATTGATGGAAGCTTCTTGGCCAAAGTTTGTTGGAATTCCAGCTTGAGCTCAGAGCACATTTCTTTGAAACTTTTAATTTTTTTTATCAATCTGTGGGAACTCCTTTGCAATGCTGGTTCTCAGTACATCATTGGACCTCATTTCCAGCTCACTGAAGTCCTCCAGGACTGTCTGTGCTTCTTGAACTAATCTTATACTGATCTGACGGACGACTTTAGCAGCAGAAGAATCTAAACATGTCATTGGCAGCAGCCAGACCTTCATTGGTACAGCTTTTTCTCCTTCAGCTCCCAGTAATCCTGGCAGTTTTTGGTAGACTTCTACTGCACCTTGAAAGGTTGTTGGTGGTTTTGGAAGACAGAAGTCTCCATAAAATTTACAGGAGAATTTATGAACACTTTCTTTGTCCTTGTCTTCCATCTTCAGGGAACCTTCACCCTCTACAGAAAGTAAGGGAATCTTCTTGATGATCACCTTCAAGTTGCCCTGAACATCCTGATGATTTTCCTGTTCAGAAACTTCACGGTCAAACACAAAGAAAGCTTGTGCTCCATAAAGAATAGCTGTGACTACATGTGTTGCTAAGCCTTGATCAAAAACATATGGATGCTTCACGTTTCCTCTTCCAAGATGATTCATGGACAGCTCCTGGAACTTTGTGGTTGCCTTGTACTTCAGTGTTACTCTGGCCTGATTTCTGGAAGATTTACTATCATTCAGATATTTGGCAGATCCATCAACCTGAACCAGTCCACCTAAGAAACTTGCCTTCAGTGAAGCTTCAACATTTAGAGCTGAAGATTTGCCAGAAATTGATTCAGATGCAACAATTTCGAACTCATTAGAGGGCTTTGATCTTTCTGCTATATCTTTCTTCAGGTCATCACGATCCCACAGAGTCAATCCTGCAAAAGAAGAAGCAAAAACATTAATACCAGGACTCCATCAATTAAATCACACTCTAAAATAAATTTATTTATTATTTATTAATTTCTTTTTTTTAAAATTACTTTGTTTTTTTTGTCTTTTTTGTGATGATCACAAAAATAGTAAATGAAATTTTGGAGACTGGAGAAACTCTGGAGTTCAGGCTCTGCATCTCAGTCAACACTCAACTCATAATAAACATTTTAGGCAATGATAGTAATAATATCAAAAGATTTGATTTGATTTTTGTAATGGGACGCCACTGTTTAACTTGGAACCTTGGGGCGATACCCTATCTTTGGTACCCAATCTCGGGTGGGGCTGATGATACAGTGGGGCAAAAAAGTATTTAGTCAGCCACCGATTGTGCAAGTTCCCCCACTTAAAATGATGACAGAGGTCAGTAATTTGCACCAGAGGTACACTTCAACTGTGAGAGACAGAATGTGAAAAAAAAATCCATGAATTCACATGGTAGGATTTGTAAAGAATTTATTCGTAAATTAGGGTGGAAAATAAGTATTTGGTCACCTCAAACAAGGAAAATCTCTGGCTCTCACAGACCTGTAACGTCTTCTGTAAGAAGCTTTTCTGTCCCCCACTCGTTACCTGTATGAATGGCACCTGTTTGAACCCATCATCTGTATAAAAGACACCTGTCCACAGCCTCAAACAGTCAGACTCCAAACGCCGCCATGGCCAAGACCAAAGAGCTTTCGAAGGACACCAGGAAAAGTATTGTAGACCTGCACCAGACTGGGAAGAGTGAATCTACAATAGGCAAGCAGCTTGGTGTGAAAAAATCAACTGTGGGAGCAATCATCAGAAAATGGAAGACATACAAGACCACTGATAATCTCCCATGATCTGGGGCTCCACGCAAGATCTCATCCCGTGGGGTCAAAATGATCATGAGAACGGTGAGCAAAGATCCCAGAACCACACGGGGGGACCTGGTGAATGACCTGCAGAGAGCTGGGACCAAAGTAACAAAGGTCACCATCAGTAACACACTACAACGGCAGGGAATCACATCCCGCAGTGCCAGACGTGTTCCGCTGCTGAAGCCAGTGCATGTCCAGGCCCGTCTGAAGTTTGCCAGAGAGCACATGGATGATACAGCAGAGGATTGGGAGAATGTCATGTGGTCAGATGAAACCAAAGTAGAACTTTTTGGTATAAACTCAACTCGTCGTGTTTGGAGGAAGAAGAATACTGAGTTGCATCCCAAGAACACCATACCTACTGTGAAGCATGGGGGTGGAAACATCATGCTATGGGGCTGTTTTTCTGCCAAGGGGACAGGACGACTGATCCGTGTTAAGGACAGAATGAATGGGGCCATGTATCGTGAGATTTTGAGCCAAAACCTCCTTCCATCAGTGAGAACTTTGAAGATGAAACGAGGCTGGGTCTTCCAACATGACAATGATCCAAAACACACCGCCCGGGCAACAAAGGAGTGGCTCCGTAAGAAGCATTTGAAAGTCCTGGAGTGGCCTAGCCAGTCTCCAGACCTCAACCCCATAGAAAATCTGTGGCGGGAGTTGAAAGTCCGTGTTGCTCGGCGACAGCCCCAAAACATCACTGCTCTCGAGAAGATCTGCATGGAGGAATGGGCCAAAATACCAGCTACTGTGTGTGCAAACCTGGTAAAGACCTATAGTAAACGTTTGACCTCTGTTATTGCCAACAAAGGTTATGTTACAAAGTATTGAGTTGTATTTTTGTTATTGACCAAATACTTATTTTCCACCCTGATTTACGAATAAATTCTTTACAAATCCTACCATGTGGATTCATGGATTTTTTTTTCACATTCTGTCTCTCACAGTTGAAGTGTACCTCTGGTGCAAATTACTGACCTCTGTCATCATTTTAGGTGGGGGAACTTGCACAATCGGTGGCTGACTAAATACTTTTTTGCCCCACTGTATATCCCTCCTGACCTGGCGTCTACATACGTGTACACACACACACACACACACACACACGCACACACACACACACACACACACACACACACACACACACACACACCTGTCTGTATATATATACATATATATATATTAGGGGTGCAACGATATTCGTATCGATATTGAACCGTTCGATACAGTGCTTTCGGTTCGGTATGCATATGTATCGAACAATACAACATTTGTAATTTATTTTATCAACTTTCCTTCTGACGATGCTGTCTGTGTTGAGCGCTCAGTGAATCTGCGTTCGACTACTCCGCCTAGGCTGCACTGTCGAGCGCAGATCCACTGAGCACTCAACACAGACAGCATAGTCAGAAGGAAGAGCGCAGGGCAAGCTAGCGAGACAGAAGTTAAGCTCTCCTTGCAACATGGCAAATTGAACCTCCCCCACCCTCATTCAGATCTGGCGTTTGGAACTATTTTGGTTTTCATGTGACGTATGACCCTGAAGGTAAGCGAGTCATGGACTAAAGTAAAACAGTATGTCGGATGTGCCACGCAATGCTCAATTACATGGGTGGGAACTAGTGTGTTAGCGCAGTTAGCTCGTTAACGTGTTGGCCGTCCAGCCCCACGCACGGGGCGATCCGCGGTAGCTCGTTAACGGAGATTTGCCGTGTTGTGGTGTTAACGTCATTTCAGATTAACGCTGACAGCACGAGTGGGAACACAACGAATATGACTGCACATTTACTCTGACAGCATCCTAGTGCGAAGACAAGCGTATAGTATAGCTGTTATTTTTGGAAAGAGCCATTTCTCTTTAATAAACTCTCTTTTCCAAAGATGAGTGATTCCTCAATCAGATACAGGGCTCGCAAAATCGCTAGCCCGACGTCCCGGGGCTAGAGATTTTTCCAGTTGGGCTACCAAAATCTATCTCTGCCCTAGGGCTGTTCAATTAATCGAATTTTAATCACGATTACGATCTGGGCTTTCAACGATCATTAAAAATGACTGAGCCGATTATTAGCATCTCCCTCATGCTTTATTCTCGCGCTGCTCCGTGTGGCAATTCGAGCGCACCTCTCTGCATTTCGAACACCATCACAACAATTAAGAGGACCTGAGGGAAGCTCTGAAAGCTAAGCAGAAGTTATTTGGAGAGGAGAGTGACTGGCCGCTGGTTGAAAAGAGAGGTAAAAAAAACTTAAGTGGTGTGGAAACATTATGGGTTCGCGGAGTCAGACGTGGATCAAGTAGACATAGTGTGTAAACTTTGCTACGGTGTAGTAGCTGCACCACAGAGCAACACTGCAAAGTTCACTAAACATAGATGTTTACATTTTTAATTTTTTTCTTATATTGCAAACATTTGCACTGTTATCAATATTTGCACACTATTTTATATTATTTTTTAAAGTCATTATTCAATACATTGTTATTGTTATCCCTTTAAAGCCGGTCAGAGCAGCACGCTCCGTTTTGTGTAACTATTTTTAAATCCCTGTAGAACCTAAACCATGTAAGCTAGCGCAATAATTTTTGCATATGAAACCGGAGGAGTTGTACTTACTGTACATCTTATGCCATCAGCTTGTCCTCGGTCACGGTTTCCTTCCACATAAAGCTTTGCAAAAATTGCATAAAAAGCGCTTGCAGGAACAAAAACATAATATTCCAGAAACACGCTTTGCCGAACCGATCAGCTGTTCGTAACACTTCCCACATTGAAACAAACGTCAGCGCGAACTATCGCATGTCCGCCATTTCCTGCCCGAAACCGGAAGTTACGTCATTTTCGCAGAAAATGTAGTTTTTTACTTGTAGGCCTTAAAAGACTATACTGGTGTTTTTATAAGTCATGTTTGACTCTATACTTTTCTGAATAGTTGCTGGGATGCTTAGAACTCAAATTGCACTGCTGGAAATTGTTTATTTTGATGCACCTGCTGCTTTCTTTGCAAATTTGCATCATAGGATTGTTTTTTTTTTTGTTTTTCCTGCAGTATATAAAAATTGCTGTATCTCCAAAATAAAACTATGAAGACACTCAAAATAAATTTCCTGTTGTTGTAAACTATTTTTTGCAACTTTTTTGTATTTAAAGTTTTGAGGGATAAGCCTCTTAAATTTCTCTAAGTAGAAATATATGTAAAAACAACAAAAATGATTTTCAATTTTTTTGTAGTTTATTGCACTTTTTTGCAATTAATGTAGTTACTATGGACTTAATGCATACATATTATTAAAATATGGGCTATAACAGTTGTATTGATGTATAGCAACTTGAAATGCTCCCACAAATGGCTCTACAACATGTAAAAAAATAATATAAGCTCTGGCGGACTTGGTTCTATGGTAGGTCTTAAAGGGTTAAATAAATATCGTCAAATAATCGAGATCTCAATTTCAGTGAAAATAATCAGGATTATCATTTTTTCCATAATCGAGCAGCCCTACTCTGCCCTGCCCGTCGGCCTATCGTAGGAAGGAAAAATATATGTCAATGCTTTTGCATTCTATCGGGAATGTAGCTGGATAATTATGTCATTGGCATCGGTGAGCCACTGTCAATATGTGACATATTGAAATCGCGTTTGAATTTGCGCTTGTTTTTTGCTTTCACTTTGCAATCGCGCGAACTGTGTATAGAGAGCGACAGCATGATGATAATTTGTGCACCAATTCCTCTGACATCGTCTTATTAATTGTTAGCTTACTATGCAAACATGACAAGTGAAATCTCCCGCAGCTTAAACATGTGAGAGGTTGATCGCGCAGAGAATCGCTGAGCTTATGTGAGTCCGTGTGTAAAAGCAGCAGGATATATATTTTAGTTCTGCTGAGCCAAATAAGACAGGTCAGGGTGAAGAAGTGACAGCCAAAGAAAAGCTTACCACAAAATGGAAAAGTTATGACAAATCAGACTATAAGGCAAAAAGAAAGTGCAGCTTTATGATTTCATGGACAAAAGAATTTCTGTGGCTGCAATATGATGAGCTATATAACCAGGGGTGCACATAAGTGGTGCGCAGGTGCGCATTCGCTGTCAAAATAAAAAACGCACACAAGATAAGAAGTTGCAATGCGTGTTTGTGTACATAAGATTTTCAGGAGGAGGACAGACATTTGTTTAGAACTCTTAAAGATGTCGAAGAAGCTCCTTTAAGCAATTACTTTGGTTTTCCTCCACCTCCAAAAAAATGTCAGAAGGAGTCCGAACCACAAAAGAAGCGCGTATTCTCGGAAAAGTAGTACCAGGAGGTGAGCTGGCTTCAAACAAATGATGAACGCACAGAGACGTGGTGCAGAATGTGTGTGTGTGTGTGTGTGTATATATACACACACACACACACACACACACACACACACACACACACACACACACACACACGTCCAACTTTCCTATGTTAAAATCATGTTTAATGCCTACTATAAGAACTGTTTTGGTCTCTGTGGACAGAGTCTCCCTTCAAATCATGTTTAATGCCTACTATAAGAACTGTTTTGGTCTCTGTGGACAGAGTCTCCCTTCAGATCAATTGCACAGTGAATTATCTGATATCATGTATGTGATACTGGAGTTAGTGGACAGCTGGAGTGATGGCTGTCATAGGGTAAGGGGTGGGGTTCACACTGGAAAGGTCGCCAGTCTGTCGCAGGGCTAACACAGAGAGACAGACAACTATTCACACCCATTAACAATTTAGAATAATCAGTTCACCTAACCTCATGGATTCAAATTTAGGACCTTCTTGCTGTAAGCTAACAGTGCTAACCACTGTGCTACCTAAATCGATTACAAAAGCAAAAGAATTTAAAATAGCTTCAAATACTGAAACTTCAGATGTGACAGGTTAAATCTGGTGAAAGGTGAAATCTTACCAGGGACAAGTTTATCGCTTCGGCAGTCATACAGCATCCCCAGGCCAAACGGCTGGCCAAGTGCTGCCAACTCCATTGTATCACCAGATTTAGAGTCCATGGCTCAGTATGAACTGGAAGTAATCAGAAACAGTTTGTCAGTTTTCTGTTCTCACTTTACTGTTGTCATGTGACACTTTGTGGCAGGCAGGATGTAGGACCCAAATGCAGGACTCAGGACACGGAAGGATGAACGAAAGGAGGCAGCTTTTATTGCACTGCATAAACTTGAACACTAAATACAAGGAAGAAAACACAACTAGAAACTAGACAACTAAGAACTCAGGAAACTAGAAACATAGAAACACAGAAGCTAGAAACTAGGAACTGACAAGAAGCAACAATGTGAACCAAGAGCACGGCAGAAACACACAGCACTGAGAGGGTACGACGTGACAACGGACATAGGGAAACACTGGGCTTAATTACACCAGGGAGTAACGAGGGAATGGGAAACTCAGCTGGGACTAATGTGACATAATGAGATGGAAAGGAAGCAAAACTGAAAACATTAAGAAAGGACGTGAGACTGTCAAAATAAAAGAGGAAACAGGAGACAGGCACAGAGACGTGGACTTGACAAGGAGACGCTAGACAAGAAACTAGATGAGGGATGTGTAACACAGGGGAGGCAAAAGCAGAGAACTAGAAAGCAAAGAACTAGACATCAAAAGATATAATGAGAAACTAACTGAATCAAAGAATATTAATAATCAACAGCACTGAGTCACCAGACTCAGGACCATAACATCTGTTGCTGTTTATGTTTTTCGTTGTTTGTCCTTGAGGACGACCAAACTAGAAACCACATCACTTTTGACCATTTAAGGTTTTCTTAGTTTACTCATTTCCCGTTTAAAAACAAAAACAAAAAAACAGTGTAGTTTATTTTGGTAGGGAAAATGTGTATTTCCTGACTCATTGAAAATGTGAGCTTGCTGTTGAAATTGGTTGCAAATACATTTAAACAATTTCACTACCAAAACAGATGATGTCTTTTATGCAAACTAAGAGCAACTATGGTAATCTGCTGGTGACCAAAGCAATTGCAGGGATGTTTTTTGTGCAGTACTCTTGTTGCAACAACCTGCAGCAAACACTCTTTTACTGGTTGGGGAATAAACATTGTTTCTCTAGCGACCAGCAGTTGCTATGAGATTTCACAGTTGTTATTACAAGTTTACTCCATATAGTTACTTACTATTAAAATGAATTTATGTCCTCAGTCGTGCTGAAACAGCTTCATAAAATTGCCACCTGAGAGTAAGAACAAAGGTTGTGAGGTCAAACATCTGTGAAAATCGTTGCTAAGTGATATTCATCAGGCTTGGTTTTATATTTAGTCCACACTATGGGACAGATTTGCTCATTGTCTGCAGCAACAAATGTTGTTGTTGTTTTTTAAAAGCTACTGTTGGTATTTAATAAAGAGGCACATTGTCACTGACAGGTGTGGACACGGGTATTTTATCAGCTTTATGATATTTGTATTTGTTGGACTTTCCATTTCCAGTATTTAGATGAATCAAACATTTTTAGTATGGTCTTTAGTATGCTCACAGTTTAATGCAAATTATGCTTAACTCGCTGGACGCGCCGGCGCGTCAAAATCACATGACCAATTTAAGACGACACAGCTACAAGATGCAGCACGTCAGAGTCGATGGGCCACGTAAAACCAGAGTTATGATAAAAAATACACGCGGTGTTTTTTTTCTGAACAAAACAGCGGCGTTTACAGCGGGAAGAACGGTAAAAACGGCGTTTTCTACAGACATCGCTAGCAAACACTCTCGCTTGCGAGTGAAAAAAGAAAAAACACCCCTTCCCTATTGGTGTTAGAGTTTACCATGTCAGCCAATCAAAAAAAATGATATGGCAACATGTGATATTTGGTTGTTTAGGGAGAAGGGGAAGTTTTTAGGAGTGACACCCGCGACGGAAAGCGGGCGAGCGAAAGAAAGAGAGAGAGTGAGTTTTCATATGTGAGACATTAGTGACGTTTAGCGTGTTTGGAGGCTGTAGTTAGTGTGTTGTGTAGTTATTGTCTTGTATTGTGTGTCAGTTAGACTGCTGAATTCATATTTGCTCTAAAAAAGCCGTCAAAGGCAGATTCCAGTGTAAACGCTGTTCCAACATGGAAAACTGGACTGATGCGCCTCCTGCTGTCAGACCTGCAGGTTTAGGCCTGTGCTGTTCTCCTCTGTCTTATACTGAACACAAACTACATTTTTGGACTGGCACAAATAATTTGTGTGCCTTCTTCTTTGATGCAGCACACCTGATTGTTCAGTAAATAGATTTAAATGGTTATATAAAAAACGCCCGAGGCCTTGGCTGCATTTTTAGGTAAATAGTACCATATAACTTTGTTGTTTGCAAAACTTGTGCATAATTTTTAGAAATGTACAATTTCTATTTGCATTTCAAGTTGTGAAAATGATTCGTTAAACATGTTTGTGGGTTTTACAGTAAAAAATATAACTTTTTTCTACTCGGATTTTGAATTTTTTGTCTGAATTTAGATCAACTGTGCTAATATAGTATACCAAATGAAAAAATAACTCAAGTTTCAGATATTTGAGGTTGTGCTGAAAATAATGATACCAAAGAAGGCAAGAAAAACACATTTTAAAGGTGAAATATAGAGGTAAAATTAAAAGTAGTCAAAAACAGCCAATTATACCCTGGACCCCAGAGGGTTAATCCTTATTTTGTATGATCTGTGTGAGCCCTGCGACAGACTGGCGACCTGTCCAGGTTCTAGCACATCTCTCGCTTTATGGCAGCTGGGGTCGACTCCAGCAACCCTGAATTGGATAAGCGAAAGAAAATAGAAGGATGGATGGTACCTGTGTGAGTATGTGAAAGTTAAGTAGAAGCACTGAATGAATGTGTGTGTGAATTAGAAAGAAACTGCTTGGACTGAGTAGAAACAATACTGAAAGTATTCTATTTACTGGGAGAAGTTTATTTTTGTTTATTTTTGCTCTGTAGTATCAGTCAGTGTCTGTTACGAAACAAATAGAAATTTGTGTGAAAATGCAGCCATTAAAGAGACAGACATGTCTCTCTAAGAATGTTTGAATATGATTCAGAGCTATCTTGTCTGTTTGTTTTTTTACCAGCTGATCTGCTGTGAATTTGGTCTTTACTGAAACTGTCGTTTAGGTTCCCAGAAGGACTTTTCACTCCCATCTGTGCATTGTTGTCATTGTGACCTCAGAATAATTTGACCTGCCTTTTTATCTTCTTGTGATTTGGATTGATTCCTTTAATTTACTATGTTTTGATGATGATGCTGTTGGGGATAAGGGATGTTTCTGATGGGAACGGTTCCCCTGCTTTCTGTATTGATACAAACTGTATAAAAATACCATCTACTGAGTATAAAGAGAACTGCCCACAAGCCTGACTGAGATAAAACTTGGTCAGTCTGAACTATTAATCAGCTTAAAGATTTTAGAAAGTATCAGCAAAATATCAACAAACAAACACAACATGTTTGTTTTAGGGTGTCAAATAACTCATTGCTTGGTCAGATGTGAGTCAGATGTCCTCACTGCTGCTAGTTCAATCAGTCGAAAACAAAGTTACTGCAAACTATGATATAAACAACAAATAAAAATAATAATAACTAGAGTTCTGAAGCAACAGTCCCTGGGCCAAAGACCCAGGACCGTGACAATTGTAATAAAAAGAAAATGATGAATCTAAAACTCTGAAACATAACATTTAGATTCAGTGTGACTTTTAGATTGTTTTGCACTTTCTTAATTGTTAAGTAATAGGAAACAGTCCCTGCTGTAACTGCACCTGTTACTTTAAGTTATTTAAATTTTCTCCACCACAGTAATAAAGACAAAAACATAAAGTGAAGCAGCGTCGGTGTACTTACAGTAGACAGCTGTGTGATCCTCTGCGGTCTCTGCTCTTCGTTCTCTTTTATATTCACTGTGAGGACAAAAAACCTTCACTGCAAGAAGAAAAAGCAGAAGAGCTTCAGGCTCGTTTCTCAGATTCATGTGTGACCTGTGAAAATACGTGTTCAGTGTGCAGGCAGGAAACCCACAGTACGAGCCTGCAGTCATGCTCACAGCTCTCTGAGGCTCTGCTTACATGACAGCAGGTGGATAAAAACTCTTCCCCTCTATGAGCTGAAAAAGAAGAGAAGTCATTTAAGGGACTTTGAACATGAAACTGTATCATCAAAAGATTCAGATTTAAGGCTCCATGCAAAGAAGAAGCCACATGTGAGCATGATCCAGAAACACGCCTGTCTTCTCTGGGACAAAGTTCATTTAAAATGGACTGAGTGGAAAACATGGCTGCCAGGTCCTCTAGACTAAAGAGGAGAGGGACCATTTGGCTTGTTATCAGCAATCAGCTCAAACACCTGAATCTCTGAGAGTATGGAGTGCATCAGAGGCTGTGGAATCTGGAAATCAATCAATACTGAAACTTATTTACAGGTTTTAGAGCAACATATGTACCAACTCAGACTCAGACATCTCAGATCTTTTTCAGGGGCGATGCTAAACTGCAGCTATGACTACAGCATGGCTTTTGGTAAAAGACTGTGGATGCTAAACTATCCAGACGTTTCATCAACTGAAAACATCTGGAGCATCACGAAACAAAAATACACGAACGAACACCCAGGACTGCTGAGCAGCTGATATCAGATTGGGACAAAGTCCAGCAGCTTTTGTGAATCTAAATTGGGTTTAGGAGATTTGGAATCATTTCACTCTTGTTATTTAGTTTGTACGCAGCATCCCAACTTTATTGGAATAAGAGTTGCAGGCCTCCTGGTTTCCTAAGCTTCTGTAGTAATTAGTGATGATTGTCGATCTTGGCTACATCACTGACAGGAAGTGATAACCGCTAATTCAGCATACTTTTGTGGAAAAGCAGAAGAGCATCAGGCTCATTTCCCTGAGCAGTGTGTGACCTGTGAAATAAACGTGTCTAATGTTCACGCTGAAAAACCAGACTACAAGCCTGCAGTCATGATTGTGCCTCTTTGAGGCTGTTCTTTTGTTCTCCGAGGCCTTGAGCTAAATGTTCTAGTATATTACATTAATGTTATGTTATTTATGTGAACATGTAATTTCACTGAGATTTCAGTCTCTTTTTCCAAAGACAGACATCAATAATATGAACACAGTTCATCCACAAGTGTAGCAGCGTGTAATCCTTTAAAACTGACATCAACAAAGAAAACCACATTTATTGCAGGGACCATTAACACTAAAAAAGGCTGAGGAATAACTGAACGTTTGACACAGTGAGCAGGAAAGTGCCCGTGAGACAGCTGGAGATCCACAAACCATCCTGCTAGAGACACAGTAACTGAGTACTAAGAACTGTGTGTTCTTCAGTCTGACAACGTTCAGCCAGGTGAACAGGATGAGGTCTGGACTTTGGGCCGCTGCAACTCATTGGCACTTTTTTTAAGCTGTTCTTTTGGAGATCTGCTGCTGTGCTTGGGCTCATAATGTTGTTGATCACTCAGTTTAGTTAGATGGCCTCACATTTGAATCTAGAATAATTTGATATATGGAAGAGTTCAGTATCAACTCAGTGACCCTCCACCGCCGTGCTGACAGATGGTATGAGGTGTTTGTGCTGATATACTGTTTTGGGGTTTGCTCGAAACATGTGCACAAAGAAGCCATCGTGCAGTCGAGAGTGTCTGCTTTGTGAGCTCTGCTGCAGTTTCATGCTCTCGAGGTTGACTGCGCTCTTCAAGCTGAATGCTGCTCGCAGTTTCTCTTAACTGGCTACATCATTTTCCTTTTTGTACAGCCTGGAAACAGCCTGGATAAACCGAGGAATTCTGTCTGCCTGTGAATTTGCATAAGGGTCCTCATCCACACAACTTATGACGCACTATACCCGCTGGGCACCTCTTAATAAGGTGATGGGCATTTTTCTGCCTCCACTCTCCACCTCAGCAGCTGAAATGGAAATACAGACTTCTGCTTCTTGTCCTCTAAGACAGTGTTTCCCAACCACTGTGCCATGCCACAGAGTTGTGCCGTGAAAAAAATGATCAGGTATGCCGTGGAAGATTATCTGGTTTCACCTGATTAGTACTCTAAGCGACTGCCGTGAATAATAGACAGAACAATTACATTCTCTTCCAATAGAGGGCAGTACTTCTTCCTCTAATTAAATGAATAGACTATGTGCACGTTAGCATATGCTACTCCTGTGGGGAGCTTTGTTTTCGGTGTCCTATTCGTGCCTTGGTTACGGTCCAAAACAAGTTAAGCAAATGAATGAATCTATAGATGTCTCGGGCATTTACCCAATATATCTGTAAATGATGTTCATCGACTTGTCGATATCTTTCCCCCCACGCCTCAGGGCAAAAGAGAAAAGGGATTCAAATGTTATATTTCTCAGCTGTCCCTCGTTTATCGCGGGTGTTATGTTCTAAAAATAACCAGCGATAGGTGAAATCAAGTAGCCAATTTTATTTTTTGATGGTGCAAAACGTTTCGTGGACATCGTGGACATACAGCGCAGCACTTCAGAGTCACACTGCCAGCGATTGATGTAGTGATTCTGTACTGTACAGGAGAGACGTCACGGAGGAGATCGTCTGCAGCGATCAGGACGCAGGACACAATGTGACGTATATAAAAAAAAAAAAAATAAAAAAAAAAAAAAAAGCATGCAAACTTGCACTAAAAAATCCGCGAAACACCGAGGTGAAAGGTGAACCGCGTTATAGCGAGGGAGCGCTGTAATTTTGAACGTAAGTCACAACCAGTGTTGGGTAAGTTACTTTAAATTAGTAACTTAGTTACATTACTAGTTACTTCTATCAAAAGTAACTCAGTTACTTCAAGTTACTCGTTACTTTCAGAGTAACTAGTTACTAGGGAAAGTAACTTTGGTTTTACTCAGAATTCTCTTGTTAATGTGTTGCTTCCGTAACTGGATACCCAGCCAGATTGCCAGTCTTCTAGCTTGCTTACTTGCCACAAGTGCACTGTGCCACCTACCAATAGAAAGGAAAAAATAATGTGCACATTTCCACGAGAGAAATCCCACACCTGATTCTATCCTAGCCTGCTTTTTACATCCAACACAAAAACTGCAGTCGTGGTGCTTTCGATTGTACTCAGAACTCGGAAATTCTGCCTTCTGAATAGGAAGATGTAGGTAACACCAGACTGCAGATGAGCTGCATACAGGGCTGGACTGGGACAAAAAAATCGTCCCGGGCATTTTGACTAGAGACCGGCCCACCATTATAGGAAAAATCATAAAACCTTTGAATGAAAATAAATGCTGTTGTGACAGTGATGTTCACTGTTCTGATGGTATATATGTATCAATCTATCAATCGTTTGTTGCAAGACTCAGATAATTATTTTTTTAAAAGTGAGACATTTTAAATGAGAATAAGAAAGTATTTCCTTGTGCCCCCCTTTCCCTTTTAATGCCCTACATGGAACCCTGGCAACACTTTGCTAGACCCGCCCCTGCACAGTTACCAGCTGTCAGCTACCTAAAAAAGGATCCTGGTGTTATTTGTCTGTCAGAAACACTTCATAACTTCAACTCATTCATGTCACCTAAAAGGTAAACCTGTTTCTCCATCACAGCTCTGATGATTCAGTAAGGACATCTCCTGGTTTCATCTTCATGTTTCCCTCTCACCACATATCCAAACCGACATCATGACCAGCAGCTTTACAGCTGTGACTCCAGCAAACATCAGCTGATACTAGAAATTAATATTAAATAAATTCTAAGAACAGCTGATCAAGCTTAAAAGTGCTGCTGTTGTTTACCGCGACATCCGCTGGTTTCCTCTTTCTGGCACAAAGTGAGCGATAAACAAACAAGAGAGAAAAGCCAATCAGCTGATCATTGATCAGTTTCATGATTGAAGTAGAAACAGGAGAGGGAGGGTGAGAGGATGAGAGAAGAAGAGGCAGCTGTGCAGCGTAAACACAGAATAACTCCAGCTTTGTGTCTTTTTCATTGTAGCTGAAGTCCGGGACAAACTGTTCCTTTCCACCTCAATAAGAAACGCGTAATATTTTCTCTGAATACCAGACGATTCCGTTTTTTACTGGACGGTTGGCAACTCTAATAATTAACCTTATGAACAAAATAAAGTTCAACATCAGTAACATAGCACCCACCCAGCTGTATAGAAACTCCGTCATGCTAGCTAGCACGCAGTACGAAAAAGTCAGCATAACGAAAATAAACTCCACCTAAACTTGGTTCATATCTGACCCAGAGAGACTGCAGGTCATAACTTCTTACCTGAAGTTCAGTTCACCTGACACTCTCGGACCAGCGGCCGCTTCAGGTCTCTCCTCTTGCCTCCCTTTTCCTTCATCCACCTGCTGGCCTCCACCACTTGCTAATGTTACTGAATCTGTGGAAGCTCCACGATGCCACCACACGAAGTAACGAGTAACGAGCCTATCTAAATCCCAGTAACGAGTAACGCGTTCCCGGTTTTGGCATAATAATTAGTTACCGTGCTCGTTACCACAATAATAACGTAGTTACTGTAACGCGTTACTTAATAACGCGTTAGTCCCAACACTGGTCACAACATACCCTTTGTAAATACTAATGTATAGAAACCGTTACCAGCAATCATTCATTTTTGTGTGGCTTTTTTCACGGTTTGTTAACATGCTGTGTAGGTGTGTACTGGACTAGCTGATCTCGACATAACGGGAAACATCTGGTTTGACTGTTCTTCACCTGTAGTTTGAATGCTGAACATTTGCCTGTTTAAATCATGAGACCAGTCACTATACAGAGATGTGCTTCTGAATATGGACGATGTGTCTTCTGCTGCAGTGATGCAGTTCTGCTTGTGTTGAGTGATGTAAACAACTGATCGATCTAAACGCTTTAAACGTCAAAATTGATCATTAGATTTTT